CTTCCTTCCTTCCTTCCTTCCTTCCTTCCTTCCTTCCTTCCTTCCTTTTTTTACTTCCGAGCATTGATCTGTACAATTTTTCAGAAGCTCGTGGTATTTAATCCCTGCGATTCTAGATGTCTGTAATGGCATGGACCTTAGGGATGCATTGCGGTTGACCCCACAGTGGCCGCCTACTCGGGAAGCTGCTTTGGCTTTCAAGAGCCATTGAGGAAACGCTGAGAAGTTACAGAGCCACGCGCACCATTATTGCTGACTGCTGTGTGGCTCGACCCAACAACATCCAGGAGAACTTCCTCCCCCTGTTGCCCCGTGTTGAGACAGGAAAACAGATGGGAGAATGGAAAGTTCCAGTGAGTCTGAGAGAACTTCCCTTTTAAAACACAAAGATAAGGGAAGCTCGGAGGATACACCTGCACCCCAAGGCCTTAGCTCGGCTCTGCGCAGGTGCCTGAGGACTAGCCACACCCACGGGCCCAGGCTGCCAATCAACTGCAGGCGAGGCTCCACAAATGACAGCCTGACTTGCGATTGCTTTCCTCTGACACCTCCTAAAAGATTTTGCGTTGGAAGACAGACTTTACTTATTTTTACAAAGAAGAATTTTTGAATTCATAATTTTTAGAGTATTGATCTGGGCTTTTAAAGATGCCTGTGAAATACTTTTTACTGGAAACGATCTCACTTCAAAGACAATTAACAGGCAAATGGGGCTTCTCGTGTGTAATGTCATCTCATTTGGTGGCTTCTAAAAATGTTTTTACCATCAAAGTATGAAGGGTATAAGGGTCACTAGACATTTTCATTCATCCAGAAATACATCGTGTATCCTTTATTCTCTGTTCGATTCTCCCACATGTAAACAGTGTGCGTGTATTTTGTTTCAGAGAAATTTCACTTTTACACCTACATTATCTTAAGTATAGTAAGAATCTGGGAAGTGTTCCATTGCCTTTTCAGAGCCGTCCTTCTGTCAGAAGTGCATTTCTCTGAGGAGAATGAGCGGACTAGCATGGTAGAGTCTTATACTGGATGAGTCCTAGAGAGGAAGGACAGGAATCTGGGAGACAGAAACCCTGTATGGATGCAGAGATAAAGGTGCCTAGGTGTGAGGTAGCAGGGCCTCATGGGAGCCTAAAACATTGACTCCATGTCATTATGAAAAGAAATTGCCTTAAATAATAATAATAATAATAAAATAATAATAACAATAATAATAATAATGACAATGATAACAAAAAGGAAGAAAGCAAGCAAGCACTAGATGCTGCTACTTCCTTATTTTTTTTTATTTAGGGACTAAAAAAAATTGTTCCAGGAACTGGCTGTTTGCTGTTTTCAAATGCTCCCCTTACCCGCTGCCCAGGTCACCCCCAGCTGGCAGGAGAGATGATGCCCAAATGTCAGCTGGGTGTGGCTGGATCCAGTTCCCATTCACACATGACCAGGAGTGCAGGTTAACTCACAAGCCCCTTAGGACTAGGTCCCTGGCACTTAGAAAACTCACACTGAATTTTTTTTTTTAAATAGGAAACTTGGCCCTTTTACTTGACTGCATCACTTCCGGAGGCTGTATCTGCTCCACGGGGACACGGGAGGGTAAGTGTGGCCCAGCACCTCTGTCACCCCTCTCTGCCTGCTCGGAGTACTGAGGACAGGGCAGGAAACACCTGTGCAGTGACACCCGGGCTGCTTGGGGCCTTACCACGCTGCAGCCGCACCTTCTGTTCCTCTGCTCTCTGAGTCCCACGCCTGCCCAAGCTAAGGTCTACTGCTGGGCAGCAGTGTGCATGGTGTGGTTTACATTAGAAGCCAAGCAGCCTCAGAACTGAATTCCACAGGGAAGGGAAGACGACTTTCTGGAAACCGATTCATATGTTCCGCGGGGTGGTCTCAGGACCTCTCAGAGGAGAGCGCTCTGATCAGGTTCTGACGACTACTACTGTATCTTCTTTTTTTTTTTTTTCTCGAAATTTTGATCTTTTTTGGCTCTTTGTGTCTCTACCTGCAGGACCCAGTTGGGCTTTAACAGTGACATGAAAGGACACTTGCCTGTGTGCACACACGCTTGCATGTGCACTTACCACAATCCATCAGTGGCTCAGACACTCAGGCCTCGGTGCTCTGAAACACTGCCTTTATTCTATCTAAACCACAGTGTGTCTGTGCCGGAGATCAGAACGGCCCACAAGGCACATTCTGGGATGTTGGGAACTACCGTTGGACATGGGAGACAGTACCCTGTCCTTGCTCTGGCGGAGCTCGGCTGGGTTAGCCTTCCCCAGTGACCGGGCTGAGGATAGCTCCACATGACCACTGGGTGAGCACTGGAGGCTGCGAGCCTGACAAGGCCTCCCATAGGTAGAGTGGGAGTGAATTAACATCGGGCACACGATGCTTCCCCGTCCACCCTGGTCAGACACGCCTGTCTGCCCCACCCACACACGGATAAGAAGCACACCAACGAGCTACACGGAAGCAGATCAAGACCCGTGACAGAGGGTCCCCCGGGCTGTGTCCAACTTGACTTGTATCAGTCCATCGACCACAACTGCGACCAAATATCTGACATTAGCAACTTAAAAGGATGATTGACTCTGGCCTGTGTTTTCAGTAGCTCCTGGCAAGCCAGCATATGACAGAAGGGCGTGTGGAGGAAGGCTGTTCATCTCATGATAGCTGGGAAAGGTTAGGAGTTGTGTGGGGGAGTGAGGGGGCATCTGTCCAAGGCATTTCTCCAGCAACACGCCTCCTCTGGCTGGACCCCATTTCCCAGTTTCTACTACCTCTCAACACCATCAAAGTATGAGTCGTCTCTGACAGAAACTGCAGGGGGGTGAACACAGGCAGCCCACCCCCCAACCCTCACCCATCCACCGCTACTCCCGGCCTTGGGAAGGCAGTGTGGCCCAGACACATTCCTGCGGTTGGTTCTCAGGATTCCAGGAACCATGGCAACCACAGCTGCTTCCCTGGAGGCCACAGGGCACCAAGTCAGGATCTGGGGCCCAGAAGTCTTTATCACAGAACAGTCTAACTCCTGTCCCTTTCCATGTCAATAGGGAGTGCAGGGCATTCTCTCTGGCCAGATGCAAGCATGCACCGGCAGCTGGTGGTTCTGACATGGTTTCTAAGGGCAAGGATAGAGTCCAACAGCAAACACCTGTCCAGAGGGCTAATACTTAAAAAGGTCAGGTCCAAAGAAGCATGCTTCAGGGGCCAGCCTTGATGCTGAATCAGTTTTATCTTCTAAAAATAAAACCCCCATTTTCCTAACTAAATAAAATAGACTACAATCCCACAGCCAATCCCACAGGAAAATGCCCGTCAGCAGTCCTGGATGCCAGTGTCCTCGGGTCTCAGTGGATCTTTTCAGCTGGTACCTTTCTTGCCTCTCTGCCTCCCCGTTACTCCTCATGCCAAGGGTGGGTGTGTACTCTTTCTCCATCATGACCCCTAAGTTGTTATTACGCTTTTCCAAGGCATCGTGGACTGGCTTACCTACGATCCACATGTAAATGCTATCCAACACAGCACACCCGTCAGTTGCCCAGTGGCCAGCACCCCTCGCTCCCATTGCTTACTTTCTAACGCAGCCCATTCCTGTCCTTGGCATCCCCATCTTCCTCCCATGCTCTCCCTGCAGCCTGTTAGGCAGGACCCCTTGGACAAAGAGCGGGCAAGATCCACTCGAGCCTCCCCCTACACGATCATCCTCCCCACATCCACCCTGGCATGGCCTCTCCACTCTCCCTGTTCAAAGCTTTCAGTGACTCCTATTGGCTACAGGTACATTCAGGATGATTCATTTCACATTTGGCGCCCCTAAATGGTCCACTGTGGCCATGAATGCAGCCTTCATTATATTTGTAGACAGGATGTATAGCTGTCTATACAGGCTACATGTTCATATACATGCTACACACTAAGCCATGCCAGGTCTACACACAGCGGCTGGTCACCTACACGGATGGGGTACATGTGAACACCCAGGGGCTATGGACCACATTGGCTATGCGTGCATTAGCAGCTGCTGTCCCTGCTGCCCTTTCCCCTTCCTTTTGAGGTACCTGACTACAAGCTGTTCTAGGGACAGTGACAGTAGAACCCTCCCTTCCCAGGGTGTGGGGGAGTACCTGGCAACATGCTATGCACGGGGGCATCGATGTTGACATCCTGCAGGTGCTTCAAGGTCTCCGTGTGGAAGAGGCGAAGGGTGGACCCCGAAGTGAAGGCGATCCAAATGCCGACACCAGCCACAGCCATGTGGGAGATGACCATCCCTTCCTCTTGGTGGGCCTCCAGCTGATTCTGGGGGAGCAGAGGAGATAAGGTCACACAGGGTATCAAGGGGTACAGCCGAGGAGTCTACAACAGTGCTGTGAGCGAAGGTGCCACACAGTGGGGCTAGGCTGAGTCACTCCTGGGGATCACGGGGTCCCAGTGGAGATCAAATCCATGAGCCTACACCCATAGCCACAGAATAGCACCCGAGGGCACAATGCTTTCTAGGCTTCCCCGAGCAGACAGGTCATTCACAGAACCCAGCGCTATTCACCTTTTATCATGGTACCTTGGCAAGCAGAGAGAACAACTTCAGTGCAGCATGAAAGGGGGCTACGGGAGGGAAGCATGGCTGCTGGTTTACATCCAAGGAGACACAGCCCACTGAGCAGCACAGCCCTGGGTACCTGGGAGGAGGCTGGTCCTTCTCCCCAATCCAGGCAAAGACAATCAGGCCAATCTGATTCATAACATAGACCTAGGGCGGCTACTCTCAGGGGCCTGCCTGAAGCAAGCAGCCCTGTGGGATCTCATTCCCCAATGGCCACCTTCACAGCCCCACTGCCGCACAAGGCCTCAATGGCAAACCTCAGTTATATGGCTATCTTGAGACCCGAGGGGGTGAGGGGCCAAAGCAAGTTAAGACACAGCGTAGCAGCACCCCAGAAAGTCAAGTAATTCAGTCAGGATCAATCTTGGCTCTCTAAATCTGAACAACTTAAAATGCCTGCGGGGCGGGGGTGGGGGGCTGGGACAGTCATAGCTCTGTGTCCTAAGAGAACAAGGGGGCAGAGCACATGACCCATCAATCACAAGAGACACCAGGCTTGCCAAGGTCACAGTACCCCCCTCCCCCCCCCACACACACAGATGCTCCCGGAGGAGCCGGGCTGAGCTAAGGTACAGCTCACATTAACTGTATCTCATTTCAGTGGAAGATTCCAGGGTAGGAGTGGCTATATTTGCACATGGGTGGCAGAACCCAGGTTAGGAGCCGCATGGGATGTCCCCTGACCTCGTCTCCTTGGTATGTTTCTCAGGCTGCTTGATGCTGGCACACACAAAATAGATTGATTTGGGGATATTGATCTTGTAACCTCTGACCTTGCCAAATTTTATTTATTTATTTATTTATTTATTTATTTATTTATTTTCTAATCTACCAGTGTTGTTCTGGAATTCCTTAGGGATTCTGTACTCAAGATTATAGCTTAGCAAATTCACCTCCCCCTTCCAAGCCGACACCCACTCAGCCCAACTCCAGTGTCTCAGGTAATAACAGTCAACTCTATGTGGTCAGACGAGGAGGCGGGCCCCTGAATCCTCTGTGTGTGTTCACTTACACTGTTGCTATGCCAACACACAGCTTCCTCTATGAACCCTGAGACACTAGCACTGGCCTGGCCCCTGGACTCCTCTCTGTGGGTTCATGCTGAGCACAGTCTGTCTGATGTTTACTGGACGGCCCTGTGGACAGTTCTTAGATGTCTTCACACAGAGAATGGAATATGTGGCCCCATAGGGGCTGTCTGCTTCATTCTGGGGCTTAGGCTGGATACAGGGACACTCCTGGGATGCTGAAGACGGTTGGTACCCATGAGTTTCAGTGCTGGCATGGGCTTCAGGGTTCTGAGATGCCCACCTGTCCACCCCCACACCTCCTGCACAGTCAGGCATCACTGGAGGAAGAAGCCTGGATGGACAGATACCTCTGGTTCCTACATAACTCTGGCCAAAACACATGCATCGTAGGTCACTGTGATTTAACTCAGATCACAAAGGAGCAGAGACCTTCCACGTGGAGCTCGTAACACAAGGAATATTGTCACCAGCCCAGGGCCCTGAAACTGCCCTGCACTTGAGACGGCTGAGGTGCCCTGGGTGTGTTCCAGTGCCAGGGACTGGAGAAAGAGGTGGCTCTGAGTCTCATGCCTGGCCCAGGCAAGGGGTATGGGGTCAGTGGAAGGTCAGACTGCTCTGTGTGCTGCTCTCACGGGACAGCTAAGCTCATACCTGCCCATCTTCCCTGGTCTCTGGAAATTAGCATCAACTTCCTCATAGCAGTTATTCTGCCAAGCCTCAGGTGGAGGTCAAGGCAGGACATTTTGCCTTGTATTTCCTTGTTCCTCTAAGTGCTGAAGGAGCCCTCCCTTCCTGCCCATTGCCCTGTGGTCACATTTCGTTTAGAACTGTCTGCAGAGGATGACCCGCTGCGTATCTGGGGGCACAAATCTTGATCGGTTCTGCCCCAGGAACCTGCGGAAGCTGAGTCACAGGACTTCCAAGGAGGCTTGAAAAAGCAGAACAAGAAACCACAGCCCATGAGGAGGCACCACTGGAGGATTAAACAGCAAGTGCCTCCTTCCTCTCCATGTCACAGGCCTACCCAGCCTTCTCTGGAAACATGCATGGCCACAGCTCTAGGGTCTCCCATCCCCAGCGACCTTCTCAATTTCACTTCCAGTCTGCAGTCTGTAGCACTTGAAGGGCTGGCAGCGTCATCTTCCAAGAAAACACGTTTCATAACACCTGGTCTGTATCTAGGGTCCCTGAATGCTCGATGTCACATGGCAAGTGTGATCTTCAGAAAGGAAATGCAAAGTCTGCATGGGGCTTAAGGACTAAGGCGCTAGGGTAGCTCCAGCAGACGTGGCCGTCCCCATCTCTGCCTGAGGACCAGGAAGCTGAGAGGCAGCCTGGACCTCTTCACCTGGAATCCATATGCTGGGTTGAGAGCTCTAGGCTCCTGCTAATGTGAGGTCCTCCTGGCCCTGTCAGACCCACTGTGCCCTCTCATCTGTCACCCACTTGTCCCATGCTTCAGCCAGCGAACCACAGTTCCTCCCGGAGTCACATCTCACGCTTACATTCTCTGTGGTATCTCTTCCCAGTCCTTCCTCTTGAACTCTGCTTATCTTGATGAGGGTGGTGATGAGGCCCCATGGTTTGATTTTTGTAGCTCTATACACAGACTCGGGCAGACACAGCGCTTGAACATTGCAAGGTCGGTTCTGACCTGGGAATAGCTTTACCGTGCCTGCTGAGGACTGGGCAGAAAGGAGTCACCAGAACTCCAACACCAGACACTGTCCCGTGGCTGGACACACTGCCAGTGTCTGCTCTATGGTACCTGGTACTTGGCAGGTACAGAACAGTGTGTAATGGACGCTGGATGAAGGACCACACAGCATCAGTTAACTTCTGTGATCCTGGACGTGGATCCCCTAAGTCTGATGTTCTGTTTTAAGAGCAGGAACGTAGGCCCAGGACCTGTTCCTTCCCTCCCTGCAAAACTGGTTCTGAGCATGTCTCAGAGGTCACAGGGAGGCCAGGATGGATGTGCGGAGCCCCGGTCTGTGCTGCTCTGTTAATTATCATAAGGAAGAGTGTGGCTGAAGACCACTGTGGTGTTGCTGAATTCCTGGCCTGGCTGTTCATCTTGTCTGTCCCCTTATCCCTCTTTCCTTCCGTCCACCGGAATCTAGTAGAAGCACCATATATGGCGGAAACTCAGGAGCAAGGAGAGCAGCCTTTAGTGTTAGGCTTCTCCAGTAATGAAGCCATAACGGTGCCCATGGCTCTAGGAAAAACAGCTGGGGAAGTTAGCATCTGCCAGAACCCCAGAAACATCAGCCTGTTCATAAACGCAGATTGCTTTAGACCTACTTGTATTAGTCTTTGGAGACTAGACTTTTAAACACACACATGTGTATACACACATGTATACATAAACACAAAAATAGCATGTAGAGAACATGGTTCCTCCCTACATGACAATCGGCATAGGAACTGCCCTCGTGCTTGGCAGGAGGCAGAAGTGCCATCTGGGAGGCATTCTGACCCGGACTACCAGGTTAGAGACCCCCAAACCCAGGACACCCTGACCTACAAGCCTTCCCACTCAGCCCCACAGCAGTTGTGATGATGCTCGCCCTCAGAGCCTCCTCCCTAATGTCTCCCAGTGCTCTTCTCCACCCTGCATGACCCAGGCTCAGCCACAGACTCAGAGGCTGTGCA